GGTTTCCAATATGTCTTTTGCAGTTATGAAGTGAATGTTTTATCATCAACTGCGTTGAAAATTTTCATCTCGTGAAGAGTGAATGCTTCCTTCCTTTTCGATTCTGCGTTCAAGATTATGAACTGTCCACAAAGATCTGACGAACCTATTTCGACATTTCGAGCAATATAAGATTCATTTGAAAAACTCATCAAGATATTGTCTATCAATGTCTGGGTTTTATTAGTGATTCCTGTGGGGTCCTCAATAGTACATATCGAATAAAATTTTTGTTGCAGCACATTTTCGAAATTAATTTTTAGTTGGTCCGCTGATAATATGTTTATATTGAAATCTACACATATCAACATGTTTATGATTTTCGTTATATTGACAATCTCATCCAGAATATCCCAAAAAATAGAGAGAAAAACGTCTCTGTCACTTTCTGATGATCTATATATTCCTATCATTATCGTACTATCATTATTATCATATATTGCTGCGAATTCTAATTTGCTTTCGATGGGCTTAGTGAGAAGATTAGTGTAATCGGCAAATTCATATTCTTCTCTTAACAAGAAAAGAACATTCATGATTCCATATCACTTGAGACTTTCCCTCCTCATTTTCATTTTATGAAAATATGAACATTATTTCAATATACGTGTAGTAAGGATGAAAATGATTTGACCCAAAATGTCAATGCGTGTAAAAAATTTCCCTAACAGAGAGCCTGAACGAAAAATTCACTAGCTTGTCAGTGACAATTTGTATTGAAGAAGGTTTGGAGAAGAGAAATGGGGTATATAGAAGAAATATCAAATTTTCACTTATCTTTGGACGTTTCGGCACCGGATTCGCTGCCGTTTTTATTAATGAAAATGGTTATTTGAATAGCAAACTCGTAGCTGTCTTGAAACTCTTCAGTTCTCAGTGACAATTGAAAATGGAAATGGTTAATTGAAGATTAATTGATGAAAACATTCTGTAACTCATTTGATTGCCAACGCCACCAATCGTCACTGAGAACTGAATAGTTTCAAGACGAATACGAATTTGCTATTCAAATAACCATTTTTCATGTTGAAAACAGGTAGCAGATTCGGTCCCGAAACGTCCAAAAATAAGTGAAAATCAGATATTTTCTCTATATACCTTTATTTCTCTTCTCCAAACCTATTTCAATACAGATTGTCACTGACAAGCTAGTGAATTCTTCTTTCTCTGATAGAAACATTCTTCAAACGCAGTGATATTTTGGAGCAAATCATCTGATTTTTCCTTTCAACACGTATATCGAGATAATATTCATATTTCAATTCTATAGAAACAAGGAAAGAAGATCCCAAAAAAATTTGAATAATAAATGTACCACCTCCTCGATTAATCAACAGGGAGAATTTGAGAATTGATCACTCCCCTGTTTCGTTTGTGATCTACAATAATTATCTGAGATGGTGAAATTTCTGAAGATCAAGTACAGGAACGCAGTGGAAGTTCTGGGTATGGAATGTGCAGATCGGCAGGTGGTTTGGTGGACTCTGAAGGGCGAAATGACGATGAAAAAGTTCGAACGGCTGAAAAACGTGAGTGGCTGATGAGTTCTGTAAAGCTTGGGACGGCTAGACTGTCTGAACCAAGTCTGGTTGTTTCAAGCTCATATTTTTCAGCTGATAGGAATATTCGTACATCTGCACAAGAAGTGAAAGGTCATTTCGATCGGAGGCGAAAAGTTGCAACAGTAACAAGGTGTTTGAATTTGTGCGCTAGCGAAGCTCAGACAGGCGTTGTTGTTAGTAATAAAATTACTTATGCATATGATAGGCACTATAAGATTTCAATTGAGGCCCAAGAGGATACGCATGGTCATGGCGAATGATCGCTATCTGATTGGGGGATTCAAATGTATGAGGGCCTATAGGCGGTTTAGGGCGATTGTCACCGTAGACTCCTCGGAGATTTTTCATGGCGTGGATGAAATGGAGTATGTATCTGAGTCTACTGGTGAATGGTGTTCAAATAGAGGCAAAAATTCCTGATTGGTCACAAATGAATTGATGAAAACATAAATAATGCAGGATAGTCGAATGCTATGACCTTGACGAGCAGGAGTTCTGAATCTACAGACAAGATCTGTGCAAGGCCATGAACCTGCGATAGGGGCCAGGCAGGCTCTGGCATCTCGACTAACGGTGAGGTCGTGAACTAAATCTGACAGCGTGGCAATGAAGGATGGGACTACGAGAGTAACCAGTTACCAGTCTATCGCGGCGTTCGATGTAAACATATTGATGTTATTGTGGTTATGTGTGTCCATTTAGTGCGTAATTCTTCGATATCACGGAAGCCATAACCTATAGAGAAAAACTTAATAGTAAGAACTCTTTCAGTTACTGAAATTGCTTATTTCAGAAATATTTTCAACATTAATGGTGGTTTTATAATAGCGGGACGACTCGAAGACGAGTTGTTTTGAATGGAACACCTAGTTTTATTTATTCGGAATTTATTTCGCCAGAGTTTACCTTCACATCGCTGTATCAATAATTGGAATCGGTTGCGGCGTTGCCAAGATATAATTGATAAATCTATTTTTACCACCATTTGAAGAGTCATGTTGAATTGGGCTTGGTTTATTTATTTATTCAAATTTTGAACATATTTTCGGCATACGTTAGGAGGAAGGTCTCAAGTATACCAATATATAATATTCACTACTATTTAGGGGTAATTTGTACGTCATATATCTTTCATTTATTTGTTTTGTGAAAATATTGCGTTTTTACGGTATAATAAAATTTCTTCATCGACCATTCATATATTTTCTTACAATAGGAACATTCACAGGCTCCCCAAGTTTGAATTTGAAACAGAGTGGGTTTTGACAAATGTATCCAAAATGCTACTTTCGCAGAATTTTTGCAGACTATGAATTTATTTTCCGAAATACACTCATATTTCTGTAATGACCTGCCAAACATGGCTACCATCAAATATATCTTGAATTTATTTGGAATTCTGCTGAATTCCTTGCCGATACCCGGATAGTAAAGAAATATTGTTTGTATCATTATGTTTACCTCCTGCAAATTGAATGGAGATTTGGATTGAGGAAATCCAAATCTCCATTGTTTGTATTATAGGAGTTGTTCCAGAGACAGGCGTTGCTTTTGGTATGTTGGTTTTTTTCACATAGGTACACATTATTTAAATCATAAGTAACAAAATTTCGAGATATTTCAAATTTGGACAATGCACATATCGCTTAGATACCTGAATGATCTATGTCGAACCTCGAATGTCATGTGGCAAGCAATATTCTCACAGTCAAATCAAATGAAGGAACCATGCCTTATAAGTAGCCCTGAGATAGTGATAAACATAAGGAAATTACTCATAACTCGAGAACGCTGCAACGAATTTAGTTTTGTTGTTCTCTCCAGCGATGAAAAGGCGAATGATGTCGAAATAAACCTGTGATGAAGAATACAGGGTGTACCATTTGGAAAAAAACAAATGAACGTCGTCTGAATCTTACAATATTCAGAACGTAAATTTCAGCACCCTGTTGAGGATTATCTGACGAAATAGAAGATTGGTGTACGTGAGACCTTGCTACTACTGTATGCCAAAAATATTTTCAGAATTTCAATAAATGAATATACCATACCCAATTCAACATGACCTTCCAATAGTAGTTGCAATGGGTTTATCAATTATAACTTGGCAACGCCGCAACCAAATTAGATTTTTTTCCACAGCGATGTAGAGCTGAACCTTAGCGGAATCGATTTCGAATGAGAAATACTGGGTGTTTTATTCAAAAAGACTGGTTTCCGAGTCGTCCTGCTTTTATAAAACACCCAGTATTGTTGAAAATATTTTAGAAATGGAAACTTTAGATAACGGAAGAAACTTGTTTCTAAAAGTTCTTCTCTTGTGATAATGGATTTCGAGATATCGAAGAATTACGCACTAAATGGACAAACTGTTTAAACGATGAACGCATTTCTGAAGATTCCGCGTTTTAACACTTGCATTGGGCTGCCTTAGCAGAAATCAGGCGCTACGACCTTTTTTGGTCAAGAATTCAGATCACAGCACTGAAATGAGTGAATTCTAAATTTCAAGGTGCATCCGGTTGATAATTTTCTAGAATTACAGTTCCATAACATTCTACAATCATAGTAGGTATTTCTGACTTACAGGCGTCAAGAGTTGGGGATAGTTAACATCTTAGCAAAGTTTTTCAGAATTGCAATTTTCGATGGGCGATTGCTCTTGAAAGGTGAACTCAAATCAAATGTTTCGAACGCTCATCGATGCTAAATTCAACGTGCATCGAAAAAGGAAGATTTGTCATTTTAGTGTAGGATGCGTTCTTTTCAAGATATAGGCAAAAAACTGAAAAGAGTGTGGAACTGTCGTGGTTTTCTGATTCTGATAATCTGAGGCGCAACAGCCACAAACTCATATATTCATTTTATTCAAAACTCTCAAGAGGAATTGAAATGATTTTCAGCCCTCGAGCAACTTCAAGGTGCTAGAGCTCTTTTTTGCAGTAATCTATCCTGGGCTATATATTTCAACTCACACAAATGGAGTCAAACATCTACTGAAAATACACGAGAGTGATATATGACTAGAGAGGCACTCTCTTTATTATATAAATTCTAAAGATTGAAAGTGTATAAGTATATGGATGAGAGTGCGCAGAGCTGAATTTGTAAGTAATCTAGATTTATGTTGATTATGAGAATCTATAAATCGCTATGCTCCATATGCAGATCCTTCAGAAAATAATTTGCAGGCCATTAATGTTGTTTTCGTATTTCTCAGTGTTTTTGTGGGTACGCTATCCTAATTCGTTTTTTTTTTTGGATCGAATAGTCAGTTCATTATAAATCGATACCTTCCTACAATTATTTGATATACTGAGGAGATATGCAATGCATAAGATGAATATATGGTGGATTTCATCAAAATTTACTAGATAGATGTATCAGGTATATACTCACATAAAAATATGATGCTTGGAACCTGGCTTGCAAGCACTTCATAACTGCATCCTCCGTGAGGGGACCATGAAGATGGATGAGATCTTCCAGATCTGCTATAGAAGATTGTGATGAGGAGACCTGCAAAATGAAGTATAATTTCATTTTAAATTGTTTAAAGAACATCGCCCGTACCTAGGGAGAAAAGGAATGGGAGGTATAGGTATTGGATGATTTTGTTTACCTTCTTGAGATCATAAGTGCTAAGTAATACTATTTATGACAGACAGCATTGCGGTTTATTGGACAAAAAAATCTAGGAGAAGAGTTGTTCGACATATTTCGAGGTTGACGACAAAGGGATGTGCTGACTGGGCCTGTATAGTTCGTCTGACTAGCACTGCCAGTGGTCAATCAAATCAAATCAAAATGTACTTCATTGCCTGAAGAATAAATTCTCATTGACAAAGTATTGATCGTCATTACAAAGCATAGTCTTATATAGAAAATAAAAACACATATTCAAATATAAAGTGTAGACATGTAAAAGAGTGTGTTAATGTATAAAATTGTATAAAAATGTATAAAGATAAAAATGTATAAAAGTAAAAATATGTATGAACATTCACAAATTTGTTGTAAAGACAGTAATACATTTATAAACAAGTTTGAAAATCAGTAGTATTATTATAAAATCATGTACCCTGATAGAATTCGGTGAGATTATAACACGCTTTTTCCAATAGAAACTTTTTAACCGATTTCCTTAACTTTTGTTCAGTTTCTATTTGCTTTATGTGCAAGGGCAGATGATTGAACAACTTCTTGCCTTCATAAATTATAGAATTCTTGGTAAGAGTTGACGTGGGAATAGACAGTTCAATGTTATAGGAAGAGCTGCGTTTATTATGTGTCATCGACTCATGTCTGAATTCTTCAAACTTTTTTTTAACCAGGCAAACGGTTTCCAAAATGAAAATGCAGGCCAGTGGCAGTATTCTATGAGTCAAAAATAAAGGTCTACATGACTCCCTCGAATCGGCTTTGCACATATATCTTAGTGCTCTTCTTTGGAGAATAAAAACTCCAAGGAATAAATAGTTTGCGCACAAGCCACAAAAGCAAATACCATAGCGTAGGTGCGATTCAATGAGTGAGTAGTAAGCGTTCTTTGCCGCAGTTAGACCTAATCCATTGGATGTAACTCGTACGGCATAACAGCCAGACGCTAGCTTTTTAGCTAAGTTTAAAATGTGCCCTTCAAATTTTCGTTTGGCGTCAATATTCGATCCCAAGAATTTATGTGTAGGTTTGATGCTAAGACAGTCATTATCGAGGAATACATTGTTGATAACGCTCTTAAAGTTGATTATACCTGTCTTAGAAGTGTTGAAAGACAATAAGTTGGCGTCGCACCATTTTTTAACTTTGTTCAGGTCCTCATTGATGATGTCTTCTAAAATTACGTTATCAGTACCATGCCAGAGGATGGTCGTATCGTCTGCAAATATTGTAAATTGTCCATGTATGTCGACAAGAGTTAGGTCATTCACATATAATAAAAATAGCAGGGGTCCCAGTACAGAGCCTTGCGGTACTCCGTGTTTGAGAGCCAGATGCTTCGAGTTCACATTTGCGATGATGACGCTTTGGAAGCGTTCTGCCAGATAAGATTGAATCCAGAGTAATGCTACACCTCTGAAGCCATAGGTGTGTAATTTTCGAAGCAGTATTCTGTGATTTACACAGTCAAAGGCCTTTGAAAGGTCGCAAAACACTGCTGCAGCTACCTGAGATACAGACGCTCAAGAAATGCAAATATAGCATCATTGGTATTTTTTGAGGTTTGAAAGCCATATTGGTCAGTACTGAGGATACCATGTTTGCTTAAGAACGATACCATTCTTTTTTTAACTAATCTTTCGATTACCTTCGCTAACGCAGGAAGCAAAGCAATCGGTCTAAAGTTTGATGGAGAATCAAGGTCACCACTTTCATATAAAGGAATGATATTTGCTGTTTTTAAACAGCTAGAAAAAACGCCTACTGAGAATGAGTGGTTTATCGCTTCTGCCAAAATTTGTAGCAAGGAGGGTGGCAAATTGAGCAGTAAGTTCACTGAAATATCATCCCATCCAGAGGAGTTTCTGTTTTTAATATCACCGATGGTTTTACTGAGCTCAGTGGCATCTGTGGGAGCAAGATAAAAACTTTCGGGTACGGAAATACGGTCTAAATAAATACTGGGGTGTTATGATAGTCAAGATTTCTGAAGACTATTTTCCTTGTTAGTATTTATAGAGGAAGACGAGGTCGCCGAACAATATCAACTTCAAGCAGTTACTTCAGAGCCTACTGAACAAATTTTTAGACATCCTAATATGTATCGATTCATATAGTCAACCGAAGAAGTGAAAGTTGGTCGCACGTGAGATCAACTATTGATTTAGCTTTATGGATTCGAATATTTTCACCTTTGCGAGTTCCTTGACTCAACTTATTACAAGATTATACAAATCAATATTATATCGACGAGTGAACATTTTGCTATAACTATGCGACCTAGCTCTATTCACATTTTCCAGAAAACGAGTTTGTGAAATAATCAGAAAATGAACTTTGGTTTTCAGCTGAAGTTTCATGAACTATATAATGATGTGGGCTGGGTAATGTTCCTTCTCGGTAACAATACAGGAAAGCGACGAATATAGTCCGAAACGATCAAATTCAGCAATTTCAGCCATATGAGATGAGTGTTCTGATAAATGTTCTGATAATACATCATGTGCGATTTCAACTTGCAAGACTCTTGCTATTTGGAACCTGTTAACCGATTTTAGACAGTAAAAACTCGATACTATAGTATACTCAACGACCTGCTCTCTTCGAAAATGTGAATTGATCAAAAATATCCAGATTCTCAAGGCCTATTTTTGTTTGTTGAAGGAGTTTGAATTCCGTAAATAACTACAATTATTACAATGATATCGTCAATAGGGTTCATTTATCTCGTCATTCACTGCGATTGAATTATCCATTTACATCATTAGTATTATAACTTTTCAATTGAGAACTGTAATTATCATCATTGTTATTATCATGTTAATTATCAATATGGGAATGATTAATTTGAAACAACATATTCAATCGACCTACATATATGAATAACTACTCTTTTCCTGGGATGAATAATTAGTTATTTCAAGAAAACAGACAAACATTCCTAAAGGTAGGTTAATGTTCATTATTCCATATTTTTCTAGATTTTTCTCCTCGTCTCTATAAAATGAACATATAATAGTATATTATGTAACAAGTGTTATGAACGTCCTTTCAGTAACGAGTAGTTTGAGCACGAGCGGAGCGAGTGTTCAATAAACGAGTGTCTAGAAGAGTTTATAAACGCGGTACATACTATGATTTTTCTACGAACTCCGATAATCACATTAACATACCCGCAATTCCGAGAATATAATACATGCAACTGTATGCAACCAGCAAGACACGTATAAGTGATATTGATTATAGATGTGTCCAGTCCATTGCTTACTAACCTTTGTTTCACGTTTATTGTCATGCTTAGCGCAGAATAGATAAATTGTTCTCAGAGATGAATGCTTCTTTTCTACACTTCTTGGGGATATGCAAGTACAAGAACATTTTCTTCGATTTCACTTTCGTCTACTTTTCGCATATATTTTCAATGAAGAATTCTGATACAAACGAATATTGTTCGAATAATTCTGATACGAAATTAGAAAATAACAGTTGATACAACTGACAGGCCAGACATGTCTCAAATTACTGAAGCTATGGTAATGTGTTCAAGAAATCGTGTTGCCATGGTAACGTGTTTAATATTTTGAATAAATCACAGATCGACAATTCGTGATTAATCGATCATTTAGCGTGGTACATATTCGTACGCAAAATGTCATGTGAGTTATGTTAGTAGAAAAATACTATTTCAATAAACGTGAAGTTAGGGCAAATCAGATGATTTGCCACAAAATGTCACTGCGTTTGAAGAATGTTCCCACCAGGAAGCCTGAAAAAAGAATTCATTAGCTTGTCAGTGACAATTTGTCATCTGTGGACGTTTTGGAAAGAAATCTGCTTTCATTTTCAACATAAAGAATGAATTTTCTGTATGACAAACTTGTATTTGTCCTGACACCTCCCAGTTCTCAGTGACAATTGGTGACGTCGGCTAATGAAATGAGTTACAAAATGTTTTCATTAATCAATCTTGAATTCACCATTTTCATTTTGAGATTTCAGTAGTGAATACCATGTTCTATCAATGTCACCAATTGTCAATGGGAACTGAAAAGCGTCAGGACAAAACGAATTTGCCATTCAAAAAATCCATTTTTTATGTTGAGAACGGGAGCAGATTTATCCTCGTAACTTCTAAAGATGAGTAAAAATCTGATATTTTTTTATATACCTTCATTCCTCTTCTACAAACTTTTTTCAATACAAATTGTTACTGACAAGCTAGTGAATTTTTTTTTTCAGGTTTTCTGATAGGAAAATCCTTTAAACGCAGTGAAATTTTGTGGCAAAGCATATGATTTGCCCTAACTACACGTATATTGATATATTTTCATTTTATAGAGACGAGGAGAGAAAATTCCAATGAAATCTGGAATAATGAAGGTAACACCTCCTTGAATAACCTACAGACAGTATAGGTTAGAGTTGATCAAAGTAACTATGAAAGTTTGAATGAACTTCGTGAACTCACTATATATCTACCTACTCCATTTTTCATTTCCCAAATCCCAATCATATTGATAATGAATATCTCATCCATATGTATTTCTAATGATAGTTTAAAGATCCCAAGTGAAGTCGACCTTTACTCATATGCTCGCCGGATGGAAATTATATTGTATCAAATAAAATATGTTTTCGAACATGTACCTATGGGGTTACCATTAAAAATATTTTCATGACTATGCTAAATTGAAATTTGGAGAAATATATGTTTTTTTCAATTTCACCGACTTGCTTGCCAAAAAAATTTCAATGAAAAGCATACCACAAATAGAACATGGAACAACTAAGATGCCTATATTTTTCTGATCCCTAATACATAGTTGCCGTGTACAAACAGGCAAGTTGATAGTTATAAT